ATAACCCAGATGGTATGCATTACAGCAGAAAGCCTTTATGAGTTGGCCCATTATTATCCAGATCTGAATATGCATGCTAAAGGCTGTGCATCTAGAATGCTTGCTGGGTTATTTGAAATAGTTGTTTCTAAGGAAGACATATGAATAGAATAGGTTGGGGGTCAGAAGCTATTTATTTCAGCAGAATTAAAATATTTTAAAATCACAATAATGCACACTTTGTAGGCATGAGTATCTGGGGATACAGAAGACAGTTCCTGCCTTCACTTATGTTTTAGTGCGAGGAGCCAGAACACAAGCCAAGAAACACATAAGACTGAGCTTGAGGAGGTTGCTTTATATAGAGAGGCAGGATCTCAATGATGAGAACAATCAGAGTCTTGAACTTTTGTGGGAAGAGCCTTCCAGGAAGACTACTACAGGTTGGATTTGAAATATCTTCCCCAAAGCCTATGTGTTAAAGACTTGGTCCCCAGCCCACAACACTATAGGGAGGTGATACAACTTTTAGGAGGTGAGGCTTAAAGGAAGGACAGAGTCACTGGGAACACTCTCTCTTTGTTTCCCAGCTGCCATGAAGTGAGCAGATTTGCTCCACCATGTGCTCCCTGCAATGGTGCCCTGTCATGCCATAGGCCCCAAAGCAACAGGCCAACCAACCATGGATGTAAAGTCTGAAACTGGGAGCCAAAATAAACCTTTCCTCCTTTTAAGTTGATTATCTCAGTATTCTGTCACAGACAAAGACTGAATGGAAAGTGCAAAAGGCCAGGGGAATTAAATGGGGAGTTAAAGCTCCCCCTTTAACTTTACAGCTTTAATATTTCTGTGTGAATGAGAGTTTTCAGGAATCAGATCATTCTGGGTAAGACTGAATTAAGAAGTTCAATTTCTTACTGGATACAATGATAGGCCAATAAAGTTTTTAAATTCAGGATGAAAAGGAACTGATTTCTATTTTTGAAAGATGACTCTGATGTAGTGGTGGCAAAAAGGAAGTCTGCCCACATTCTTCATTCACACATAAACACAAACATAGAAATGTATATATTGCCAGGCATGGTGGTGCACACCTATAATCCCAGCAGCCCAGGAGGCTGAGGCAGGAGGATCACGAGTTCAAAGTCACCTTCAGCAACTTCATGAGCCCCTAAGCAACTCAGCAAGACCCTGACTCTAATAAACTACAAAAATGGGCTGGGGATGAGGCTCTGTGGTTAAATGCCCCTGGGTTCAATTTCTGATATTTAAAAAAAAGTATATATATTATTTTTAAAAAAGCAAAAAGTGATGGCATATAGCACTTATTCTACTGGTTGCTGGTTGATTTTTTTTTTTTTTTTAGAATTCCTCTATGAAATTATGTTCAGGGTTAGTTTACAGTCTCCCAATCAAATACATCTTGTTTTTTCCTACTCATATTAATGCAGTATCTTAATAGGAAAAACACCAACTTAGCATTTTAACATTTGGCCCCAGAATATAGTCATTGGATTTGGCTCTGAATGACTTTTGGATTGTCCTGAAAATCACTTGTTTTCAAAGAAAAAATTATTTTCAACAAATGGATTGCCTACAGACGTGATACTTTTTGAGTAGCATCAGTGGAATGCATATGCAGTTTACTAAGATGCTTACTTTGAAATGTTAAAAAACAATCATTTTAGTCACCAAATAATTATTTGCAAATCACAAAGTACCAGTACCTGTTTTAGGTACTGGGGATATATTAATGAACACAACAGACACAATCTCTTCCTACTGAGCTTACATTCTAGTGGAGGGAGACAGGCCAAACGAACAATCAAAATAAGTAAACTATAAATTATGGTTAAAGATTATATAAGAGCAAAATGAGAGAGATTTGGAGAGCTGGAAGAGAGTCCCCATTTTCAATAATGTCAGATTGGGCTTCACAAAGATGGTGACAGTTAAGCAGACCTCAAAGAGGAAATACACAGATGCTCAGGGAAAGACCATTCAAATAGAGAGAATAGCCAATGCAAGGGAATGTGCCTGGCAAGGTTGAGGAAAAATGTGGTGGCTACTAGTTATTAAGTTATTAGTTGATAGAACTGAAGGACATAAAGTCAGAAAGTAAGGAGATAGACAGCAGATTATAAGCAACTTGTAATATGGTAAGAATTTTGGCTTAACCATAGAGTGAGGAGAGCCAAAGCAAAGAAATGACAGGATCTTACTGTGTTTTCAAAGGATTCCTCTGACTACTGAGATGTAAATAATCTAGAGGAGCAAGAATGAAAGTTTTCATGTGTTTTGGAAAACAGTAACATTTCCTAGACATATCTCCTTAATTTTGTTAAAGAGGAGAAAGGAGCCAAATCAAAGATTTTTTCAAAAAGATTTTGGATCCTATCTTTGCTCTTTATCGTTCCTTATCATAGCAAATTTCTTTCTATCAACCCCAATTTCTTCCAGATTTTGGCTCAAAGTGTCCCTAGACTACTTTCCGGCTACAATATTAATTATTTTGTCCTGTGTAGAAGTCAGGATCTTCTTAGTGGAAAGTAACTGAATACCTGACCCAAAAAGGCTTAAGCAACAGGCCATTACTATTTCACATGATGAGCAGTAAGACAAATGCAAAGCCAGGAAAGATTAATTTAGTGCTCAGTGAAATCTGGGCTCTGGTACCTTTTCTGTATTTTTCCTGCTTTTCTCTCATGGTTACAAGATGTGCCACTGTGACTCTCCAAACATGTCTTGCTCAATGGAGGATGGTGAAGACAAGAAGTAAGGAAAAGATTTCTTTTCATGGGATTGAAGAGTAAAACCTTTCCCCTGAAGCCCTACCCCTCATTTCTCATTATGTACTGACCAGTATTAAGTCTCGTTCTCAGCCCCTGAATCAGTCCTTGACAAAGAAGGACAGAATACTACGGTTCAGATCAGTGGCTCTGAAAGTATGATCTGTGGAATCCTGGGGAGACCTTTTCAGAGAGTTATATTTAATATAATAAGATCTTTTTTTGCTATTTTCATTCTCTTATGGGTGCACAATGGAGTTTTGCAGACCTTCCTAGAACTAGTGCAATCACTGGTTGCAGAAGCAAGTATGAAGATCTGAATGCCTTCTATTAAGAAAGAAGTTAAAACATATATGAAAAATTTTAAATAGCATTTCTTTTATTAATTTTTTGAAAATTGGTTTATTATTCATTACAATGTGACTTTAATTTTTATCCTTATTTTTTAAAAATAATAATTTTAAATTTTCAGTTTGAGTTTTTAGTATGACAAATATTGACAGATAGAACCCGCATAAAGAAAAGCATTTTATGCATGGAAAGGAGTCCAGAAACCAAAAGATTGAAAACCTTTGGTTTATTCAGATAGGCCTGATTGATTCATCCTTGGGCTGCTAAGGGGAAGGTCAAACTTTTCAGAGCTCACCTCCGCCTGACCCCAAAACTTCTTCAAATATTACCATCAATGGTAAGGTCACAACAGGGTCTGCCAGACCTTGTTTATTGAACTGATTCATCTTCTAGTCAGGAGGTGAGCTCTTCTTTTTTTTGACTGGGAGGTGGTGAAATGGTCAAAATGAAGCCCTAAGGGCTATTTGGAAAACAACTGTCATATTAAGTGGCTCCTTGAGATGGAAGAAGTGTGGTATTTTGAGAAATGGACATTTGAAATTTCAAAACCTCTGTTGGAGCAGAGGGAGTTAGGGAACAAGTTATTAATATTTTGAGTTAGGGCACAAGTTATTAATATTTTGCAGTAATCGGTTTCTCTCTAGCCCCAGTTCTGCGCTAAAAGCGACCCTACAAAGATGGACCCTACCTAGGCTTTTGGCAGTCAATACCAGTGCTCAACAGCAGTTAGTAAGTAGGCTTCCACTTATGCCCAAGGCAAAAAGGAGAATTTCCTTGGGCTCTTGAGGTCCATTCATTTTCTCACCTTGATCCTTCATCCAGACTGGCGATAATGTGTGTGTTAAGTTGTTTTTTAGTGTAAGTATTTCTTATTCTGCTTTCATCCCTATTTTGGTTTCGAAGTGCCCTCAGGAGCCTCCTCAAAACCCCCAAACCTATTTTTCTCCTCTTGAGTAAATTCTCTTGGCTACACATATACACACCAAAGTGCAGGTTTGTGTTTACAACCCAACTCACATGCCTGAGATTTCTGCATCTTTTTTCTTTTCTTGCCCGGGGAATTTTTTATTGTGAAGGGATTGGGGAGGAGCTGACATGACCCTGGCCACGTGCAGCATACATTTCCTTTGCACATATTTTGCCGAGTGGTTGTGAGCCATTTTTGGATAAACTTCTATTACACTAGTGCCATTTCTTACGATCTTCCTTTTTTTCTGCTGTTTTCTCCCCAGGTCCGCTTCTTTGCCCTAATTTTACTTGTACCTTTCTACCGGTTGGCTTGTTTGCATCCACGATTCCGAGGCTTGAACCTCCCTTCCCTGGGGCCTGACCTAATTCTGGATGCCGACTCGGTGGTTTGGTTTATTCTCCCACTTTAGTAAACGCACGTGGCTCTTCCGGGAGCTTCACTTTTCTCCTGGAATCGTAGTGGGACTCAGTGGGGGCTAAGAAAACGTGCTCTAAACCAGCCAGGACCTCGGCCCCCACAGAGCCCCGGGTCCGAGCGCAGCGGGCGCGAGGAGGGGGCGGGGAGCTGGGCCAGCCGGGTGAATCTCAGGGCGTAACAGGTGCCACGGTCACAGCTGCACCAGCAGAGCGCTCGGGCTCCAGGGATAAGGTTTTCTTTTTCTCTGGGTTTTTTTGGAGGTGAGGAGGAGGCTCGGTGGCACCCACCCGACCAATGCAGGCCGCGGTTGTTCATCGCCTAGCAACTAGCGGAGCCAATGGGCGGCGGCCAAGCCTGCGGCGCCGGCGTGCGGGGGCGGGGTGGGAACCTCGCGAACCTGCCGGGGGCTGGGAGGCGGCTGCAAGGGGCGGAGCGCAGCTCGGTCTGGGGCGGGGAAGGCGGGAGCCCGCGGCGGAGGAGGGGCGGTCGGCGCGAGGCGCTGCGTCCCGCCGCGCCTGTGCGGGCCCGCGGGGCTGCGGGAGCCGCTCTTGGACACCGCGAGCGGTGACTCCCCGCCGCTCCCGGGGGCTGTGACGGTGAGCAGCTCGCCCCTCGGCGGGATTGTGACATGCTCGGCCCGACAGGGGGCGCTGGGGCTGGCGGGGCTGGGGGCAGGCGGGTCGGTGTGGGGGCGGGCTTGGAGGTGTGCACTGGCACCTTGCTGGGCGCCCAGCTTCTCGGCAAGAAGCTCGGCGGCCGTTGGGGCCGTTGGAGGGTGCTGGCGAGTGTTGGCTCTCGCCGCGTCTGGAGCAGGAGGTAGGTGCCAGCTCCGGGATCATTCCTGCTGGCGGTTGAGCATTGCGCCCACGAGAGGGCTCCGGCCGGGTCGCCCCAAACCCTCTCCAGGATGGAACTAGGGTGGCGCCTGGCTGGGGATGACGAGCGACGCGGAGACATGGGGGAGGAGGGGTTGGCCAATTTGGGGCTGCAGTGGCTTCTTAGAGGCGGTAGGGCTTGCGGGCTTCAGCGATTTGTCAGTGCCAGCCGCAAGAGGCAGTCGTTAAAATGAGTTATTGGGTGGCCAGTGGCTCCTGCAAGGGGAAAAACACCCGGGTAGAGAGCTAAAGGTCTCGGGGAAGAGTTTACATCATTCAAGAGGCAGGAATGTTTGAGAAATATTTTGGCTTAGAATTTTCCAGTAAAGTACAGTAAAACAAATTGTGAGCTCCCTGCACCTCTTGGAGTCTGTGCTAGTCGCCTTGTTATGCAAGTCACTTGGGCCCAGAAAGTAGCATCTGCTAAATAATTTGCTCTCGGCACACTTATCGGAATTTTTATATTAATACTCTATTTCAGGGTTCACAGTTGTGAATGCCAAACTCATTATTAGAAACACGATAGTTTTTGTTGACTGATGAGACATATTTCCCTTTTCTGTCATATAATGGATTGAAGATTTGGAGAGGGTGGTTCAGAAGCCTAAGGGTGAGGGCTTCTTGGACTTAGAAACTGCTGGGATTCCTTAGCTATTCACATCAGAATTTAGGTCCCAGGTTGATTATGAATGGGGAGGTGCTATGGCACTCTGGTTGAGGAGGAACAGGGGAAGAAAATCCTGGCAGCCTTATAATTTGATCCTGAACTAGAAAGGTCTGGATAACTTGACACATTTAGGACACAATAAAATTTGAAAATTTTAGTTAGTGCTCTGGAGAGAAAAGAAATGCCTTTAAAGTTTAGATCAAGCTATTTTGAAATTTTGAAAGTTATAGGTATATTTATGAACTACACAAAACAATCCATTAAATTTCTCATTCTAGAGCTATCATAGGCCTAGGAAGCTTACCTTATTTGTTCATTCAAACAAAGGTGCCTAATTTGACACCCTTGTACCTGCTACCAATGAAAGTTTCTCAAACAAAATTGTTCTTTGAGAAAAAGAGTAGAAACTAATACAGTTAAAAGGAAGGCTTTTCTCCTGACTGCCTGGGCTTCTAAAGCAAAGTCATTTTATACCCTTCCTTCCCTTCTCTTTCCCCATCTGTACAGTGAAAATAATAACCCTAGGATTAAAGAACGTGGGTGAAGCAGCTTGAAGATAACTGCAAAGACCGGTTATTCTAGGATGAAATGTGAAGATCTCATCACACATTGCGCCTTGTGACAAGGCTTGTTAAGCACATTATGTTCTAAACATGCTGAGGCAGATATATAAGAAAACTAAAATGTTAACTGTTCAGAGTGTTTTCCATAGGTCTTAAATTCTACACAAAGTTACTTAGGCTTTTCTAAAACTTGATAAAGTCTGCTCTTTGGCCAAAGTTGGCTGTGACACAGTTTTAAAAAGGTAGACATTTGAGTACCTTTGGATAAAAAGCTGAAAAGACATTACCTCAGGTTTTTGTGCTTTTAATCCATTTCACATAAATTAGAGCAATAAGTGGGTGTGGTGTTACATGTGCATAATCACACATGTGGAGAGACTGAGTGTTACATGTGCATAATCACACATCTGGAGAGTACTGACTGGTGTTACATGTGCATAGTCACACATCTGGAGAGACTGAGGCAGGGAGATGGTTTGAAACCAGCCTGGTAACATTGAGACCGATCTAAAAAAGAGACAACTTTTAAGTGATATTTTTCTGTAACTTTTCTGATGGTTGTGAACATGCATTATTGGTCTGACCAATTGCTTATGACATAAAAGAAGTTTTGACACTATGTGGAACTGTTTTGTATGTAATGATGTACTTAGCTGGTAATGAAGGTACAAGCTATCTTCATGAGTTTATAAGGTAGAACAGAGAAATACCATTCTTATTAATAATGGAAAACAGCCTAGAGTTATGCCTTTTGATGGTGGGCCAATATTTTATGTAGTACGAGCAGATTTACCAAGTCAGGCTGTAATCATTCTTTCAATAGCATTAAACACTTAATAAGCTGCTACTTGCCAGACCTGAGAATAGAAAGATGAGTAGTAGAGAAAAAAGGGAGAAAATGCTGATGTAGAAGGCATTAGAAAATTTCAGCTGAGCCTTGACTAAAGGGAACTTCACCAAGCAGCTGGTGCATTTTGCAGCAGTATATGTTTGAAGAATTACAGGTGGTTTGGTTAGCCCTAGGTGGATTGTGTTTGTGGTAAAGTTCAAGAATGGTGCTATGAACTTTGACCGGTAGGCAATAAGGAAACTTTAAAAGGTTTTGTTTATGGGAATTATATTTACTTTTTACTTTAGAAGAGTCTATCCACCACAGTCAATAATTTGAATGACCCAAAGTGTTCTTAACTTTGACAATCCAAATAATATTGGAAGTTAACTTTACATAGCAGTTAGACTTAAAAAAATATTTTATTAAAGGATCAGATACTTTCGAAAAGCAGGAATAATTAATCATACAACAAACTGTTGCTGAAAGCTCAGTTCTTGTCCCTGATGCCAATCCAATAGTGATTTTCTCAAAACACAGTTTTGAGAAAAAAGAAAAAGAAGGTTTATTGCTTTGCTAGCAAAGGAGAAAGATAGGGGACTCCTGTCCCAGAGGCTGTGATTCTGCCCATCAGCAGAAACCGGGGGCTTTTAAAGAGGTGATTTAAAGGTTGCATTCCATGTGTTCTCTGTTGGAAGTTGTAATTCACTTGTTACTTTGGGAGATCGCCATCCGCAAAGTTTGTGCTACTTGTTCCTATGGTAGATGTGTACAGGGACAGATTACTCAGTTTAGGCTCTGGAAGAAAGATAATCCTGTTTTCCCTGAGATTAGGGAGGGGAGAGATTAGGGAGGAACAGGGAGAGAGGAAGAGAAAGAAACATGTCCATTTTAAAAATAAATTGCAGTGGCAGAGCAGCAAGGGTTATATTCAAAGCATAAAGTGGACCACTGGTAAAAAACTTCTTTTGAGTATCTTCTACTGTTAAGACTTGGGGATTAGGGTTCAAACATAAATAAGATACAGCTCCATTAGGAGAAATTATTATGTATTACAAAATCAGAATGCGTAAAAACCTCACGTTCTAGCAGTGCAGGAACCTGAGATGAGAAGAGATATAAATTGTTTTTTAGGTTAGCAACAACAACAACAACAAGTTCATAACATAAATTAAACTGTAACCAGTTATAAACAATCAGAATAGTCCTAACTAAAATTCTACAGTTTTTAACTTGCTTCATGTTTCCCTTCCCTTTCTCATATTGAATCAAATGTTTGGTTGCCTACCAAACTACTAGCTATGTAACCCAGTTCCTTAGCTGTCTTATTTTTGAAGGATGGTAATACAGCTACCTACTTCATAGGGTTGTGATGATTTGATAAATATCCTGACCATGCCTGGAAAAATAAGTTATATTCATTGAATGTATAGTATTTCTATTTGATATAAAAGTGCTATAATTTGAATGTGCACTGATTCAAGGATTGGGTGATGACTTGATGACTCCTTAATCTGCTCAAATGGCTCTTGGTCTCCAAGCCCTAGAGTTTATCCCCCATTTGAACATATGGTGAGGGCATTTCTAAACTCAGTAAGTTCTTCACTGCACTCATTATTATCCACATACCCAAATGCAGTTTTAGTAATCTTACTCCTATGTTCTCTCTACTTAAATGACAGTATTTTCTGTTAAGTACCAAAGGTAGGCTTTTACATGAGAAAATAAATGCCTTCCCTTTGTATATTAGGCATGTTGTCAGTCTGACTTCTATAGTTTGTATCTTCAACTCTCCTCATTGTCACTGGTTAAGTCAGCCAGTCGACCCATCACCATTAATTTTCCCATTTACTATATTTTTATATTATTTATAAAAGGAGTGTTTGCTTTATGTAAAAAAAGGGTGGGGGATAAAAAGCAAAGTTGTTGTTTTGTTTGGTACCAGCCATTGAACTCAGGGGCACTGAGCCACATCCCCAGCCCTATTTTGTATTTTATTTAGAGACAGGGTCTCAATGATTGCTTAGCGCCTTGCTTTTGCCTTTTGCTGAGGCTGGATTTGAACTCACAATTCTCTTGCCTCAGCCTCTGGAGCTGCTGGGTACAGGCATGCACCATCATGCCCTGCAAAAGCGAAGTTTTAGACAACTTACTTATGTAGTTCCTGGCATATGTGATCGCTAAAAAATGTTTTTGTACCAGGGATACTAAAAATGGTGCTAATTTTGGAAACATTGTTTGGAGGAGATTGGCAGAATATTGTTCTAAAGGACTTGTATGACTAAATATGATTTAAAAATATCTAGTTTAGAGAGTGGCCACTTATAATCCATGACAGATAAGGTTTTTGTCTGTAGTTTATCAGTCTTATTAATTATTTGCAATTTGGTTGTGCAATCCTATTGGAAAGATAGCAACTTCAACATTCTTTCTGCTCTGTATTCATAGAGTTAGAATATAACTGTACGTAGGATGTACAATATAAATCATCAGTAAGCATAACCCATACAAAGAGGATGATGATGTCTGTTGATTTGGAACTCCACTTAAGTGATGGAAGAGAAGTTTTATTAGTTAGATCTACATTGTAAAAGTCACTGCACGGTGTTCTGGAAACACAAAGTGAAGGGGGATGGTAATTCTAGAAAAGCCTGGCAATTAG